TTCCCTTCATACTTTGATCTACTAGAAATCATTGATGTTTTACTAAAGGATTAGTAACTTCCCCTCATGCTTCTCCTTGTGGATACCAAGTATCTCACCAAATCCAGTAGAGAAAAAAAAACTTGTTTACGTACATCCAAGGTTTTATTATGCCACACCATTATCAGAGGACAACTGACAAGGATTTGGAAGTAGTTTATGAGAAGCTAACTTTGTCTCTGGCTGCTAAGCATTACTGTTGTGTAATATCAACCAAATATGAAATCGATATGCTATTTATGTGCTTTAATGATTGATTTCAGTTGTCTTGCCTGCAAGTCCAAGTTGACTTCATTTGCTTTATTTATATGTTAGCACTTAGCACATCTTGGAGATAAAAGGAAAGCATTTCTTACTAGAGAGATGAGATACTGTCACATTTTCTGCAGGTGATTTATCTGCATTAGTTGTTGAGAATAAAAAAGAACTTTTATATTCTGTATACGTTGTTTTCGCAGATAAGAGTTTGCCATAGAGTCTGTCAGTGGTTAGAAGGAGTTGTGTTGATACGCTGCTCTTAATATATGTATAGAACAGGTTTTTGAATCAACATAAGTTTCCCTGAGAGATTGTGATGGTTATTGTTTCAGGCATGTATGTATTGCACGTTGAGAGAGGTTATTTGGAAACTTGAAAAAAAATTAATCCTGTTTTCTCCTTGTTTACACAGAAGGTGAAAGAGCTTTACCATCAATACCAAAGTAAGTTTTATGCTTTCTTTTCTTATATATTAAAAATATGTTTGAAAAATAGTTTTGCTTAAATGATGCTTTAAGACTTTTTATGTGTGCTTGATTTTTATTGTTGCTTTTGGATTCCAGCACCAATAGACAGTCATTTGGGACCATGGGGCATAAATGACTGACAGCAGCATTAAACTGTAAAGATACCAGAAATAAAATCTGAGGGAAAAAAGTGCATAATGCATTGATCATATTTGACGGTAACAAAAGAAGGATGTTTTGGAAAAAAACTTGACTGGGATTCAGGCTATTTATTTTGAGTCCATGAGTAAATTTAGTTATATAAGTGGTGCTAAACAGTTTCTGAATTGTGGTTTTAGTCTTTGAGTCAGTCTATGCTCTTGTTTTTCCTACTTATGCTCTTTTCTGCGTATGTGAAATACAGAAAATACTTTTTTTTCTCCTATCATAAATCTGTAATGTTACCTTTTGGTAAAAAAATTTCCATAATGGGGCCAGTCTGTAAGTTGGGATCCCTAGGTTCAGTGTAAGAAAGAATATCATTTACGTAGCAAATACTTCTTAATCTATTTTTTTAATATAGTAATATAGAAAAATTCTTAGATACTGATCATGGATTTGTAGAAAATGCTAATCTGCATCAGGCAAACAGTCTTTTTTTCCCTCTGGCTAGTTTTATGGTGATGCAGTATCTAAGGTATGCTGAGAATTGCTGTCTGCATCTAACAATTCTTTGCCCCATCCCTGGAAGTGTTCAAGGCCAGGTTGGATGAGGCTTTGGGCAACCTGGTGCAGTGGAGGATTTCTCTGCCCATGGCAGGGGGGTTGGAACTGGATGATCTTTAAGGTCCCTTCCAACTCAAACCGTTCTATGATTCTAAAGTATGCTAAGATAATTCTCTGCATTTTTCTCCTTCTCAAGCTTTAAGGTAAATAAGAAAAGATTTCTAATTTAGCTCTGGTTGATCTAAGAATACTTCTGATGTTGTTGGAGTTGGTAGTCCATAACACAGTGGTAGGAAAGCCTGTTCACTGATTCTCTGCACTCCTGCTGTCAGTGGCTAGGTCTCCATCCTATCAGGCAAGTGGTGATGGTTGTCTCCCCTTTCCATGTGTACTTTCTTATTGTGGCCTCCTAAACTTCAGTCCTTCAACCAAGCCACCCTTTTTGCTTGTTTGTAATCTGTTTTCTCAACAGCCATGTTGAGACCCAAAGCCACATCTCATCAGACTGTCCTCCGTGTACCTTATCAGGCAGTATCACCCGTACCAGTAGCAGGACATAACTGTTGGGAGACCAAATGAAATTTAGCAGTTTATATTGACTTATTTCTTCCTTTTTGCATTGGGAAACAAGGACTGTGCCCACTTTGACCCAGCCACCTCATTCTCTTTCTTCCTTGATTCTTGGAAAGAGTCCAGAATTATTATTACTACTTTTTTAACTATTGGGTGGAATATGGAACACGATTTGTTCCCAATTCTGCAAGAAACTGGCCACTTAGACACCAGTGGTTGCTCTTCCTTCCCAGGTCCTGCTGCCATCCTCGCTAGCCAAGTAGCATTCTCATGGTGCAGAAAGAGAGGGGTTAAAATCCAGGGAGGAAAAGGAAATGAGAGTTGAGGCTGAGAGCAATAAAATTGGTAAACTTAGTGTGCACTTATATGGAAGAGGAAAATTTATTTTTACTTCAATAGATGCAACTTTGAAACACAAAACAACTTTCTAATTACATTTTATCCTTTTTAAGTTTGTAGGAATTTCTGGAATAAAACAAGGTTTGAAGGAAAAGCTTCTTTCCTTTTTGGGACAGTTTGCCAAAACAATTTGTACGTTTGAGTCTGTTTGAAGAAGGGCACCACATATGCTGTTAGTCTGGCAGCAGAGGAGTGGGGTTTTGTCAAATAAATGAAACTACTGGCCAACACCATCTTGCATCTGGAAAGATTTGCCTTTGCCGGATGAAATTCCACATTTCTGAAAGCATGAAGTGCAGTACTCTTGTTTTACCAGTAAAATTAGGTTTATGTATATACATGAAAAAAAAACGTAGGCAGCTTCATTGGAATTTATGTTACTAATGAACATTTACAGGTAGCTACGTTTAAATGTAATTGTTTTTCTGAATTCACTTGACATGTAAATCAATTTAAAATTGTTGTACAGGGTAGGTCATCTTACAGACAAAAACTCGATTCATACTTTGTTTCCAGTCGATGATACAGAAAGTAGAAGCACCATCAAATCACATACATTGACAAAGTTTAGACATGGACAGATTGACCTAAAAGTTCGTAAAACCTAGGTTTGGTTTTTTCCCCCTGAAATTCGCTGGTCGTGGTGAATCAATGTGCTAATTAAAACGGTAACGCGTTGGCTCTTACTCCCCCGGATGGGTTTGAGGTGGTAGATTCCTTTCTGACTTCTCTCCCCCTCGCAGTCCGTCACTGTGGGGAATGGATTGGCCCTGCTAATTACAGTAGGTGCCCTGTTGGGATGAATTCCCAGTGTGTGTGCCTGGGAAGAATGTACAGCATTCAGCGATTCCAACCTCTGTCTTACAGGCTGGCCAACAATGAGAAGCAAGGAGTCAGGTCACACACAGTCTCTGTCTCAGGTAAGACTCATTAAGAAAAAAAAAAAGCAAGTTTATTTATAAAGCTAGCTTAGGCAGATTTTTCACTTGCATTTAGCTCACATTTTGACTTTTCCAAGACCATGGCTGTGCTGGCTTCATAGTGCAGTTTCTAAAGAGAAACTTCCTGCAGCTCTCCGGGGTAGCATCGCTTGCGAGAGCGGCCGTATCCCTGCAGGAGCGCAGGGCCGGTGTGCTTCAAAGCCAGCCTGCTGCCAGCACGTCCGCTTTGCCTTGCAGTGAAGTGGGCTGGGATGGGCTGGAGCGTAAATTACCTGAGGATGTGTTAATTACGAAGGAGCAGCCTTGAAAAGTGAAAATAGGCAATTAAATAGTAATAGTCGCTTTTCGGAAAGAAGAAACTCAACCGCTGGTTTTTTGTAGCTGCTGTTTAGATCAAAGCTTTAAGTTTTGCTGTTGAAAATCACAAGTTAGTTGAAGGATGAGCATGTGAGGTAATATATGTTGTTTCTATAGCTCATAGGCTTCTGAGATTTCTGTTAGTCGCTGTGGGGTTTTTTAAGTTTTTACACTAGAGAGAAAATATTTTTCTTTTACAGAATCTCAAAGCAAATCCTTTCAAGGGATTTATTCAGTGTCTTAGTAGGAAATGCGTTTCTAAATCCTTATACATAATATTTATTAAGCAGATTATTCAATGCAAAAGTGTATTGATATTATGATATGTTCCTATAGATTTCTAGTATTTGGCCATGAACTTCAGGAACCAATACTGTGACCCAGTGGAGTTGCCACACCTGACTCACACAGAGGCTACAGCCCCACTTTAACATTTATGTGAGCGCTTATTAGCACATATTCAAAAACCCAACACATTTCATTGAAGAAGGAGGAAAGATATGTAGATATTTGATCAATTTCCTACTTTTCAGATTCCTCTCCCCACCCTTAACCTTTTTTTTTAAAGATGTTTGAGATTCATCCCGTGGCGTAGGAAGCCCAAGTAAACAGACCTTGTGCAAGAAAATAGGTGAGAGGATGTGGAATTAAATCGTGTATCTCTCTGCAGAGGTGTAATAGAGCTTCACCAGTTACTCTTACCTCTCAGAGTCAGATAGCAGCTCTTCTTCCTTCAGTACCTATCGAGCAAGCATGGGTGATAAGGTAACATGAAGCATGGTCAGCGTGCTCTCCCTTGGTTCTGACCTGTGTGGCTCATTTCAGCTGTTAGAAAAAGTTGGAATTTCTGAAGTGATTAGTGCTGTGCTTTTTAATCACTCCACTCACAAAAAAAGCTAGTCTTGGGGCTAAAAAAGTCATACTCCCCTGCCACCTCAAATTTTCGCCCTTTACATTTTTCTGAGAAAGTTCTGATACACTTTTACTATTAAAAGCAGCAATAAATGCTTACTTCGTGATCCTTTATTGCTGTCTCTTTAACTTTGCAAACTTAGGTCTCTTTTACTCGAAGCAGTATATCTAAATACTGTTGTGTCTCATAGTACAAGCTCATTTCTTCTCTACTCTTTTGAACTAGTGTTTTGATGTTAATGTAGTGAAGTTAGTTGTAATCCCTCATAACTCTGGCGTTTAGGGTGTCACATAAAGGTGTCTGATGAGAAAATGAGAGCTTTGCTGTAGCACCACAGGAAAACAGCAGTAGCAGTGCTGGGGACGAGCTCATTTTTCCAAGTGAACATCAAGGACGCTGTAAGGCATGAAACTGGCTCCTGATGCCATAAGCAAAACAATCGAATTATACCAGCAAATGTCCTTCCCTTTCTTTCCAGTATTGAAATCAAAACCAGTTAGGTATTTTTCTGGTATTGTAGTAGGGTTTTGTATCTTTCCACTTGTGGAATTGTTGTGCCTGGTTCTTGTTTTTTGTATTGTGTTACAAACCACTGGAAACACTGACATAATACTGGAATGATTCGAGCCATTGCATTTATTATTCATTCTCAAGGGTTCTTTTTAATAAAGGTGCATAGAACACTCACATACTTTCCTTTTTGTTGGTTTTTAGTTTGAGGTTTTTGCCCCCAGATTGTTTGAAATGCATCGAGCGTGGCACGGATGTCAGTATATTGAATTTAAACCACAGGCAGATTGTTGAGATGAGGTGGTGTGGTGAGGGTTTTTCCTCGGCAGGTGCTTTCTGTAAGAATCTCTGAGTCCCCAAAGGAATCAACTTGTTATAAATGAAGTAATACTTCACGTAGATGTGAAGAAGTGTCACTCCTGTTGTCACATGAAACTGATCCACCAGTGCACAACATCGGAGGCAACAGATGTACATGATGTTCAGTTAACCCCAGAGTTACAGGTCAGCAGAGTCTGACAGCTGACAGCATCCAGTGCAAAGCCAGCTGTGGGGGCTGCTGTCTCGGTTTGCAGAATAAGAGCTTTTCTCTGGTGACATTTAAATGACTTGGAGCTCAAGGCTTCTAATAAGACAAGCTTTTATAACTTAGTGACAGCTGTAACATCCTTCATGCCTTTGATGTTTAAATCATACATTAACTCTGCTGGTTGTTTTCAGTGAGATCACTGCCCTTTGTTGAAACCTTTTCCAGTGCTAAAGCTGAATAGCAGAAATGTGAGACACATATTCAGCGAGAAAATTAATCAGTTAGACATATTTATAGTATCAATACTCTTTGTTCTAAAGGAAAGTTTCGCGGTGAGTTCCCCACCACACTTTGGGGAAATCAGCAATAGCCAGAAACCAGTATGGAATATGATTTGGTGGTCTAAAAGTTCAGGTATTTCTCTGAAGTTTCGTAGGTTTAAAAACGAGGCTGTCAATGAAAGACGCCTTGTCTTTCTTTTTGAAATATTTATTAACATACCTTGAAATATTTCTGGTCTAGTGAAATGAAAACTTGTTCTTTCCAAGTGTTTCAGTATTCCAAAGCATACAAAGATAGAAGGTTTTTAAAAACTTTTTATTTTTTCTCTCTGAATAAAAGCCTTTTCAAACTAGTGAAGGGTGAAGTTGGTTTCAGGAATCCAAAGCAGCAGATTGCTTGACCAGGGAGCCAAGAAACGTTCTCTTACGGCTGTGTGTCACTGCACCAGGTTTCACCACACACCTCTTACTGCATGCTTCTGTTTCTGGGTTTCTGGTGTTATTTGTCTGTCTTGCTTCTTCAAATTATATGTTCCTTGCAGTGGGCTCTGTCTTTAGCTGTGTACAAGTAATTTCCCGTTTTTATTTAACCACTGTAATAATTTTATCCCTCAAATTTTACATGGAGGGGTACAAATAAATATAAATAAAAAGCCCAATTAAATATGAGTCGGAGTTCAGATTTCTTTGGAATCTATCTGGTGTTTGATTTAAGTTACTGTGATTCACCAGAAGCAATTAGTGTCTTAGCTAATGGATAGTACCAAATTTTCTCTCCTCCTCCCTCTACTTCCCTCTTTACATTAAAAAAGAATTCTTTGTCCTTGGCCAAGAGTGTGCACTCAGGAAACAGTAAGGCTAAACCATTTGCTATGTGCAAATCGTGTATCACATTTGTAAGAAGCAGCGTACCAGCTTACTATAGTTTTATTGACTAGATTTCCTCCTGGTTTACTTGGAGTCACCTTATTAAAATGCTCTGCTCTAGCCTACAGGAACTTATTTTGACCACCAAAAGTGGTTTTGAGATAGCAAACATAGGCTTAGTAAGGTGATGCACGTATTTCCTGATAAACATATTTCCAAAAATAATAATTTACCCAGTCAATTATGTATTATAGAAAGTTCTTCATAAAATGAAATCAAGAAAGCCTTCGTTTACTTGCTCCCTCTTTACATAAATTCTTTCTGACACAGGGTTCTTTGGTTTCCACTGCCCTGTTCTCACTCACATAAATATGACTGGGAAGAATAAATACGTTTTTGCTTCCTTTGGCTAATCACTGGGCCTCCTTTGCACTGGAGAATTCTAGGAACATAAATTTTTTTAATCGTAGCTCAAACATTTACATCAGTGCTGCAGAATATGACATTCAGGCCTCCTTGTTTCGGTGCGTATTGAACAAGCAGGAGTATTGAACAAGTCTTGGCAGTGTTGGGTTCTTGGCAGTGTTGGTTTTATGGTTGGACTGGATCTTAAGGGTCTTTTCCAACCCAAATGACTCTGTGATTCTAAGCAGTCACTCTTGGCGTTTGGATATTCAGGTACTGCTGAATAAAATACCATGTTTGTGGGAAGGAACTGTAGCTGGAAAGATGACAGTGAGGAAGAAGATGAGCTGTTCTGCAGGAGCCAACACAAAGCATGTTCCTGAAGTAGGGTTTTAGGGCCTGGCACAGGGTTGGTCTCGGTTCAAAGCAGGTGCTGGTTTGGCACTTTCAGTACGTGCTTATTTGGTGAAGGAAATTGAAAGGTGTTTAAAAACACTGTTTCAGATGTGAAGGCAAGCTGTTCAAGCCATCTAAGTCACAGATCCCAGGACATACACTTTTAATAGGGAAATAGGTGTCTTAGAGAAATTCATTTGTCACCTTGTTCCCTCGCTGGCGTGGCTGTCATTAGCACAAGCGGCGTTTTGAAGTCAGTAAGTGCACGCTAATACCATGGCATAAGTTTCTAATAACGCTGGTGTGCCATTGCCTCTTTATAGAAGAAAAAAAGGAAATTTGTTTGCTTACAGGGACTCTGTAAGAAATTATAACTGCATCCCATGGTTTGGATCTATCCAGTAGCGTCCCCTGTGAAGAACAAATTGGAGCTCTTAGAGAGAGCTTCCTTATGAAGCATAAGGAAGGAAGGTTTTTAGCATCCTGAAAGGGGCTTCGCAGCAAGTTTCCAAGTTCTGCCTTAGAATCACAGCTTTGTAGTATAATATCAATCATTCTGTATAATATCAATCACTATGTTTAAATCACAGAGTGTGGTTAACTCCTGATCGTGGCAGTGAAGTGGCATGAGAGTTCTTCTCTAAGGTGCTTCTTATGAGCAGATCCTGTTTGAAGTAGTTGGCGATTTAGTCATATCATTTAGCTGAAATTTCAATTTGAA